AATTAAATTTTAAAAGAAAGGTTATAAAAAAAGTATTTAAAACATTAATTCTCTCACAAATAATTAAACATACATGCAAAACAAGGAAGTACTTGCAAAGCACCAAAAGTATAAGATAAACTATTACAATGATCAGCAATAATGAATTCTCGAAATTCGATACCGATAAAAGGTGAGATAAGCATGCGACCCTATCAATTATGACAAATTCATTATAAATTAATTTTGACTAATAAGAGTTTGTTGCATTAATAAATTATACATACCAGGCCGAAAACAAACCAGCGTCTTGCACTGTAATAAAATATTCGGAACGGGCATAAAACTACAGCAAGAATTACAATTACTAATATCAAGGGGTAGTAAGGATGCTGAATTGAAAATAAATTCGTAACATCCGCATACGTCGCTAAACAAACTAGCAAAAGCATAAATGATGTAATCTATTTATCATCAAGATGAAGTTAGTTAAAAATTTAATATATACAGTACTATAATAGTAATAAATGACACAATTACCTCGATATATTGACGAAAATCTAGATTTTGTCTTGGATTAAGTTCGAATATAAACTTGTAATTAATGCGTAATTTTGTCCAAACATACATAATTACACCTATAAGCAATAAGAGAATCATTGGAAGAATTAACCCAGCATATAATTGTAATTCATGAGTTCCATTTTCTGCGATTGCTATATAATCAATGCGTGTTTATGTATGTTAATAAAATTGATACAGAAAATGAGATAGAAAATATTTTATCAAATTACCAATTTTTAAGGCATTATATAAGGAAGGAGCAGCCAAGCCTATATATATTCCTGATCGTATTGTGGGAAGGTAATAAGTCTATAAAAGAAAATATTAAAAATATTATATACATATTGCATATATTTAGAAAATAAGATTTGAAGGTGTTCATTTACTTTGTGTCTTCTATTAGGTGTTTTAAGTTTCTTTTTCGCATACGATCGAGAGCTACCGCCAAAAAGTTTATTAAAAATATACTAAAAAGATAAAACTTATTAATAAATTTTATAAAAAAAAAAACAAATAAATAAAAACCAATGGACCTGAATACCTCAGTGTCTTTCATTAGTACATCTACCCTTTTACTTTTTACAAAACTGGTTTGATTAACTTTTTTCAGATAAGTTTCACTCCCATTTAGTTTTGTAACCTAGTGCAAAAAGAATCATATACGTATTAATTTGCGCGAACAGAATTTAGGCTTTAATAATAAACTATCTTTTACCGTATCAAATTTCTCAAGGATTTTTTTAAATCCGGCGTGATTAATATTCTAAATGAGATTTAAAAAATATAAATATAAGTGATAAAAATATTTAAAATTGCATGATTAATTACACTGAATTAAAAATTACTCGATAATGTTTTAGCATTTCAATGCCTCGATAAAATTCGAAAATAGCCTTTTTCATTCTTTTTCTCGCATCTTTATAATCTATCGCGAATAATGTTTCATTTGTGGATGGACTAGAAATATTATTATCGCGTTCTTTAAATAATTTCGAAGTCCAGTCACTACGAGGCTAAAAAAAAAAAAAATGTGAGCAAAATATTACAATAAGAATTGTTCACAATTGAACCTAGGTGCCGCACAAAAAATGCGCGGCAGATCCTCGATTTTGATTGTTAAGAGCGACGATCAAACCATTAGGCCGGGATTACTCATAATTTTACTAATGAAGTTGTAGCCGCCCATTAAGTGAAAATTGTTCCCGGGCAAATTTTACCATAATGCGGGCTTATATTTTAAATATTTCTATTTTTGTAATGAAAAAATTAAAAAGTTGATTCCGGCCGGAAATTAGGAAACAATTATGTAATGCGGGCCGAAATTTTGAAGATCCTCGGCCGTTAGGCAATCAAAATCGAGGATCTGCCGCGTATTTTTTGTGCGGCACCTAGGGTTAATATAGTTCACAAATAGAGTGTGTTACACAGTACCGAATTTGATTGATTGGCTGCTTTCAAAGCCTTTAATTCTTCATATGATTGATTTATTCTATTGAAATGTTCTCGCGCATCTGATTCTTTTTCTATTACCAATATATGTCAATATAATAAGCTTTATAAATTTCTTAAATTCGTGAAATATAAAGATTTTTTTACCTTCATAAAAGTCATTAATTTTTTTTAGTTCTATGTCTAAAGCCTCGAAAAATTCTACTTCATCGGGACGCAATTGATTTTTAATCGTATCAAGGGATATAATTGGAGTTCTTTGAACTAAAAAAAAAAAATTTATATATGCATTAATGAACATATTAATGAAAAGGCCTAAGGTGACGTAGGAATAGTTTTCGAGGTTTACTTGATTTGCTTCTTAATCGAGAAGGTACTTTTGTGAGCAAGGAATTCGCCCGTCTAAAATTATCTATTTTAATCTTTAGTGGAGAGAGTGATGGCCTTACTGGGTCAGAATGAGTAGGTTTACGTTTGATAGATTCATTTTGTAATTGCGTCTGATTCTCGTCTTCCTCTTTAATAGATTCCTCTTTAATAGACGTGAAAGGAAAAGATTGAAAGCTTTCGGAATGGCCATAAGTAGTTGGTGATTCACAAACATTACTAAAATAAGTGGTCGGTGATTCTGGTTCTACATATTGAGATTGCTGAATGTTTTCTAGCTTCACCTTTAGGCCTTTGTAGTCAATATATCTTAAATCATATAAATGTTCTATTTTAGCTAATAATTTACTTATAAGTAGTTATAACTATAATTAATTACTTTTTTTTCCACTCAGGTACCGATTCAATTTGAAGGAGCTTGCCAAATTTCATCGTGCTTTGAATTATTTCTGTAAAGATGTTTCTTCTTTAGAGAAGTTTATAACCTATAAATACATAAAAAATATGATTATGTTTATATATTAAGCTAGTGATTTACCATATTTGTATATTAATATCACCGGGGATACAAACTATTTGTTTATTTCCAATTGCCATTGTCGTTCATTGATCATTAAGACAGCCTGTTGACGTTGTAACCATAGATAATCTTTGGAATAGTAAAAGACTGTCGTACAAAATTGTAATTAACGTTATATAGGTTGATCCCATTATTCATACAATACAACATTAAACAAAGGAAAAACAGGGCGTTGAACCGGCCGAATTAATGGCTGCTATTCGGCTTAAATAATTTTTATTTCAATTTTGAGCAAGATGAATCATTTGCTTTGTGCTATTCACAACTAAATCCTACTAATTTATCATTGTATCAACTTATCACAATTTTAATGAAACACAAAAAATAAAATTAAGTGTTTTTTTTAGTAGTAAATGATCGAAAACCGTTAAAAATATTGTGTCAAATTTCTCTACGGATATTGAATTTTTAATTCTGATTTTTTTTTTGTTTTTAGTCTTATGATCGATAGACATTTTTAATTACACAACTTAAAATATTTTAAAAATAGATGCGTTCTCTTATATAGTGACGGTGTGACTAGACTTGTTGGTGAAACTAAATCACACTGGTGAAACTGGTGACTATCTAAAATCTGATTGGCTATTGCATTCACCAGCCAATCAGATTTTAGATAGTCACCAGTTTCACCAACAACTCTAGGTGTGACCAAACAATGCAATTAAAAATTCAAAAGCAAATTTATAAAATTATATATGCCTAAACTGAAATATTCTGTGCATTTTTACAAAAAAAATATTTAGAGAAATCAAAGTATCATTCACTTAGCCCAATTGGTGTAATATAAATAGCATATAATTTTGTTCCTTATATAATTACACATTCATATGTTATCACTTAAACTGCCTTGACATCATCATTAACTAATCAAAATATAGAGCCCGTTCCCATACACAATACTTGCAGAATATTTATTGCAATACTACGGATTATTCATCACAATTTACAGGAAAATTTGCCTGCAAGCAGTTTAATGAAGCACGCTCTATATGGTAATCTATATAATTCGAATTATTTTACCTAATTGCATCAAACGACTTTATGGTTAATATGTATTAAGAATGAGTACGTATCACACAAAAACTTGAATATTATATATAGCTAGTAAATTATACCTAAAATGTATTTGTACATTTATTTGCTTTGAAAAAAAACCTTATTCTCAAAATAATTACGTCCATTGTTTGGTT